TTTATATTTGAATGTCCAAATATAAATGAACAGGATTTTTTTCCGAGTACTTGTTCGGGCACTCGAGGCTCAACTCTGTGTGTCAACTGAAAACAGTGTCGCACCAGCACCTTCATCAGTGTCTGAGCGCAGTGTCGTTGACGTCACGCTCAAGCTCCAATGGCAGTTCCTCTTCCTCCTTCCAATTTTTTTTGTTTCCCTCATCCCTTTCATTTTGTCCCATGTTTTGAAAGTCTTCACTGTGTCTTCAGCGTCTGTGTTTATATCAGCGTCTGTGTTTATGTCAGCCTGTGTGTGTGCAGCCTAAGACAGATAAATTATGATTTGTGTTAAGATGCCTAAACATTTTATAATCTTTCCTAAACCTCCTGTGTAGAGTGGGCGGCCCAGAGAAAGAGAGAGTGAAGACAAAGCGTGAGGGCTGAGTGCTGCAGACTGAAAGAAAATGGTGTTCGAGAGAGGGGGTAAAAAAGTTAGCAAAATGTCTGCTAAATTGTGAACAAAATAGCAAAGCTCAAATTAATAGCAATTCATTTGAATGGAAGCAGATTAAAAAGAAGAGGGACGAAAGGAACAAGTGCCATGCAAAGTGCCCTTCTCTCTCTCTTTTTGAAAAAAAACTAGGAGAAAAGGCCCTTATAGCCTATAGCGAGCTGCTTTCATCGTCGCTGAAGCTAATAAATCAAGCGCATACTTAGGCAGCTCAAAAAGAGAACAGAAGAGAGAGATAGAGAGAGAGAAAGAGAGAGAGAGAGAGAGAGAGAAAGAGAGAGAGAGAGAGAGAAAGAGAGAGAGAGAGAGAGAAAGAGCATTACTGTGAACATTACCGATCACTTTGAGTACTTCTTCAGTTCAGTACTTTCTCTTCCTGTCCCTCCTGCTAAGAAGTCGCATCGGATTAGGTGCAATAAAATAAATATCTGCTAATTAATAATAAATAAAACGACACAGTGCACACTTTGTAGTCGGAGGAGAAGGACGGAGACGACGACGGCGACGTGTGCCTATGTTTTTTGATGCCTGGTGCGTGGTGCTAAATCCAAAGATGGCAAAGAATACGTACACACACACAGTGCAGACAATGTTTATGCTAATAGATGGAGGAAAAGCAAGATTTGGAGCTCAAGTCGATGCAGATTTTTTTCTAATGAAAGCGAGAGAGAGAGAGACAGTCGCCTAGCTCTTCTTTTTAGAAAAAAACACAAAAACAGCTTTCAGCGACTGATCACCGAGAAAGCCTAGACGCCAAGAATCACATACCTGAGTAATGGAAATTGTATTTATTATTGATCCGCAGTGAGAGAAAGTGAATGAACAATAGAACAGCATACGACGACAACAACAACAGCGTAATAATGCGTAATAACATTAGAAATGTGTGTCCTAGAGGACAGTTAGTAGAAGTTGCAGTTGAATGAGGTGAGGCATTAATGATGAAAGGTGCAAGCAAAAGAGAGGAGGGAGAAACAAAGGGGGAATCACATACTGCCAAATACCTCCTCCTCCTACTTCTTCTTCAGACAAAGGCCACGACGATGATGGCAATCAGCAAGAGGACAATTACCGTCCAGTACCCTAAGTGTCATCCACCACCAGCAAAAACGAAAACAACATCAGCAACAAAGTATATCATCATCATTTACCTAATTTTTTGCACTTTTTGTTTTGATAAATGCAAATGCACTTTTCATTTGCATTTGTCAAAACCGTTTTGTCGTTAGTGCTGCGTCAAAAAAACTTACCGCAGGTGCTCGCCTTGTTGCTGACGACTTGAATGTTTCGCGTGTTGCGAGTGACGCGGTCGTCCGTATCGGTAATCGCCTCGCCAATGTCCTCCAGTATTTCTGTACGTTTCGAGGGTGGGGGAAGGCAAATTTTAGCAATCAGTGTTAGTAGGTAGACAGAAAAACGGCAGATTCTGAATTATTAAAAATAGCCCCAAAATGTAGATCATTTGCTCTTCCTCCTTCCACTTCCAATTCATCCGCCATCATCACCTACCATTATGGAGATCAATTTCCGTGTTAATGCCCTGGGCGAGGTACTTCTGACGCGTTATAATATTGCCGAGTGTGTCCAGGCCTTCGTCTTGAGCTGTAGGAAAAAAGTGAGTGAGTGAGGGTGAGTGAGAGTGAGTGAAAAGAACAGCAAAATCGGCTTGAAACAAATGTGCACCGGAAAACAGCAGCAGCAGCAAAAAAGTGTGAGAGTGTGAGATGTGCTTGTGTTTACCTTGCAACAGCAGCCTCTGCGTCTCCCTGAGCGTCGTCACCGACTGGTTGCTGTTTCCGTCGTCGTCGCCGCCGGCGCCCGTTTCCTCCTCCAGGCCAGTGTTCCAGCCAATGGTGGGCGCATCGGGGTGGTGGTGGAGGCTGTCAGTTCGACTGATGCTCTGGTAGTTGCTGTAGCTGAACAGGGCACTTCTATTTGACAAATAATTAGGGAGAGAGAGGAATTAGAATAGTGTGTGTAATGAGAGCTGTGATGAAGGTAATTGAGAGAGAAAGATGCAATTGCAATTTAAATTGGTAGTGGAAGCAGTAACGAACCGTCGATCACTGTCAGGATTGTTGATTAGATTCTCGATTTGCTTGCAGCGACTGCTCAGATTATCGACCAGCCTCTGCCGTCGCTCGGCCTCTCGTTGTGTTCTAGAGGAAAGAAATGAGAAGTTTGAGTGTCAGAAGATACGTAGTAATAATAAAATCACAGCGTGAAATAAGAGAATTACATTCGGTTGGCGCTGGCATTCAAGTTCTCCTGCAGGTGGGCGACCTTTTGGGTGAACTTCCGAAAGAGGTCCTTGATGTGGAGATCACTCTTTGCAAAGGGCTGCGTGTTCATCGGATACTGGTTCCGCTGGTTGAGCTTGTGCATCAGCTCATTGGCAAACTCGTCAATGTTGTCGTGGTCGTTGATCCTGGATTAATCATCAAACAGTGAATAATACTGATTCAAATCATTTTAGATACCGAAATGATCGTCAGTACTTACCAATCGTCCATTTTTACAGCTCGATTCCAGGAAAAATAAAGATGAAAATCACAGAAAGGTTTCTACTTTAGAAAGCGAAGGGCGCTGACAATCCTCAAATGGTCAAATCATCAAAATGCGACTCGGCGTTGAAAGAGAAGACAAAACATCGCCTCTTGCAAACATTTTTTTGCTTGTTTGTTTACACTCGCTATAGACATCTACCGGCTGAAACTGTCACCATCCTTCGATGCAAAAAAATACTTTGAGCAGCAGCCAAAACACCCAAAACAAGATTACTGCCAAATTGTACTAGTTTTGTGGGCGTAAATCGGTGGTCTGAGGATGCAACAAAATACAATAGCTGCATTGGTTGCTTTCACTTTGTTATCAGCAATAGCTGTCCATCACCGAGCACACCCACAATCTAGCAAAAGTTCTATGCAAGTTTACTGTCTGCATCTCCAACTTACCTTTCCCTAAAGCGATCTGTGATCTGCCACTGCCACCATCAAATCTCAGCTCAAGTAGCTCAAGTGTCTCACTTCCTTTCACTCTTTCAAATGCGGTAGATTATCTCTACATTGACGCACCGGTGCTGTAGTGGCAGTGGTCACGTTCTCTAAACACAGCTGTACACGTGCAGCGCTGATGAAAGCACTCACACAGGAGCACCTTTTCGGTCTGCGCGGTAAAACACACTAGTTTTTATTTGAGTTTACGCCACTACCGAAGAAGAAGAAAAAGAAATGACAGCAGGACGAGACGTCTGCAGCGTCTGCAGACACGTCTTCCCCCAATTATAGCATCACCAAAGTCAACTCTGTGCTACTGCTGCTTTAGCAGTGCACTCTTCAGCTCTGGTGCACCAGTGAGTCAGGCACTAGCACCATCAGCAGCAGCAGCAGCAGCCTGACAGCAACCGGTCAACCCATCAACTTGGCACACACCTGTGTGTCAAACTGGTTGTGAACAGGCTAGGCTGATAATGCCTCAAAGGGGTGTAAGAGTGCAGTTGTGGTGGTAGCTGATAAGCCCCTGATCAAGCGGTTGTGCATCAGTGCCGGCTACTGCCGCCGCCAACATGGAAACGTGATGCACTGGTGCAGCATCGGTGAACGGAGAGTGCGCCAGTAGTGGCACTCACTTTCCTCTCACTTTCAAGCCGTGGCCGTGAATGTCATTGAAGACACACAGACAGAGAGTAGTAGAAAAGCACACACTGAGCCTGTCTCGCACAGTCGCCTCGCAGCACTTCATCGGATCACAAAGTCACCAGCCGCAGTTAGCCGCACCACTCCTTCACCCTCCAACTTCATCTCCTCCCGACAGTGTCATCCTCTCTCCGACGCTTCTTCCTCTTCAAAATGCCCATCAGCAAAATCTTCGCCCGTCAGATCTTTGACTCCCGTGGCAATCCCACCGTCGAGGTGGACGTCACCACCGAGCTCGGTAAGTGGCGGTCGCTTTGAATGATGTCAGGTTGCATCATGTCATGCAATGATGATGATGATGACAGCTTTGGTCAATGTCATTCGAGTTCTAAATTCTATTTTCTCATCTAGGTCTCTTCNACGAGGCGCTGGAGCTGCGCGACAATGACAAGAGCAAGTACCACGGCAAGTCGGTGATGGAGGCCATCAACAACGTCAACCAGATCATCGCCCCCAAGCTGGTCGGCTCGGTGAGTGTGCTAACTACTTGAGTTTGATTGATCGTTTACTAACTCGCACTTTAGAATGTTGACGTCAGCAATCAGGCCGCCGTGGATGATCTGCTCTGCAAGCTGGACGGCACCGAAAACAAGAGCACTCTGGGCGCCAACGCAATTCTGGGCGTGTCCATGGCTGCGGCCAAGGCGGGCGCCGCAAAGAAGG